CTCTCTCACCAGGCCCCAACGACCCCCCCCCCTCTGCCCCGGGGCCCTGGGCTCCCACAGTGTCAGGGAGGCCTCAGTGTTGACAAAGCAGCTGGCCTTCAGAAGACACATCAAACCCAGGCCCTGGTTGCTGTTAGGGGCTGAACACTCAACAAAAGGACAGGACACCAAGTTTCAGTCCTAGGCCATTACTAGCCTCAACAACAGAACTACACACCCACAGAAAGGCCCTCAAGGGGACATAATATATTATATTCCCTGTTAGGAACAGGATCCCTGACTGCTGTATCAGCTCACAATTTGCCAACCACTCAAAACACGTCCCATACACTGTAAATATTCAGAAGATGGCAGTGGTGTGATGGATTATCATAAATGTAAAGCATAAGTCGAGGTTAGGGGGTTGGTGTCATTTTAACACATGCACCCTAATGACAATTCTGGGTCCCCCCTAATGCTGGGTTTCTCCCCCTAGGCAACATTAACTGGGCACCTTGCATGTGATGTATGTTAGATATGACTGGAAGCATCACACTGTTCACATTGTTATTGTGAATAAAATAGTAGACACCGGCCAGTAACAAAGGAAAATGTATTTGTTTTTATATTGGTCCATTCATCTTCTAAAACATTCCTGATCTAGTCCCAGAATTAGGAATTGAAGAGAGTAGTTCTCTTAGAAGACTAGAATGGTTTTACTCTGTTAGTAGTAGTATAGACCTGTCATCTACAGAGGTGAACAGATGAAAGATTTAACTGAAGCCCTGAACATTTTCCCCTGTGATTAGTGTCTTATAGACCACATGATGGCACTAGAAATGATTCTCTATGGTTAGGGTTAGGGTTGAGAATAGGTTTAGGGTTGAACCAGTATGTGGACATGAAGCTATGGTTAGGGTTAGGGTTGAGAATAGGTTTAGGGTTGAACCAGGATGTGGACACGAAGCTATGGTTAGGGTTAGGGTTGAGAATAGGGTTAGGGTTGAACCAGGATGTGGACATGAAGCTATGGTTAGGGTTAGGGTTGATAATAGGGTTAGGGTTGAACCAGGATGTGGACATGAAGCTATGGTTAGGGATAGGGTAAAGTCTAATCCATGGAATAAGACATTAGTCAGTTACAGTATACTTACATTGCAATTACCTTGTCATAAATGTTATTTGCATTTTTCAAGACAAGAAAATGATAATATTGATAATAAATTGCATGTTGCATTCTTGAACCAACCCAAGTAAATGCTGTTAAGTCTGCAAAACTAAGTTGACGTTCAACAGCAGCATCAGACTCCCACAGAGGATAAAGTACCAGCCCTCTTTCTGCACTTTTCCCAACTTAATTGCCAGCATTTAGCACTTGGGGGAATCACTCTGTGCCTGTTAAAAGGTGTCTCTATCTGTCTATATGCAACACAATTCCACACATTCTATTAATAAACTGGCACCTCTCATGCTGTCTTTGAAATAATGAACAATGAGTTTCGCTGCTGCACCTCAGACATATGCCAACATCAAGCAGAATGTCAAATGACTGAGAAATGGAGCGATTGACAGGAGTGAGACTCCATAAAGCATGCATATTAAAAGAATTTGGTCTTATTCAAGCCAGGGAAAGAGAGTTGATAATGCAATATCAGTTGTTCATTTAGACAAGCACAAGTAAGTGAGTCGCTGAATCTGTCAAAACAGTTAGGGTGCAACTCGATCCCACTACACATAAGGAAAAAATTGTAACACTTTTTTGAGCTATTTCCAAATGTGATTGTGTCAGGATTTAAGCATTATTGACACTTTCAGTTAAAGGGTGTCTACTATCTGCTATATGGCAAAACAATTGAGCAAAATTGCTATTATAATAGCGCACCACCTAGTCTGCCTCGAAATACTAACATGGTCATTCCTGCCACCTCCTTGGCCCTTTCCAGTCTGCTGCAATGACTGGACGAATGCAAAACGATTGAAGACGAGACTCTATGCTGCCATATTAACTAAAGCATCAGTGTGTACAACACCTACCATCACTGCCAGGAAAAGAGTCGAAATTAGCCACCAATACTCATGCCTTAGGTTATAGCCTTTGCACCAGTACATCATTTGATAATGAGTCACTTGCAATCTGTTCAGTATTTATACATGTATAGTTGTTGCCATTTATGAACCTCATAATGCTAAGGAACAGAAAATTTTGTTGTAACAACTTTTTTTTTTGAACCCCTATTAACTTGTTGTTAGGTTATTTAATGCATACTTTGACCTTTAAGTCTCCAGCGCGGGTGTAATGTTGAACCTCTAAAGGCTTCCCTGGAGAGGGAAAAAATTGAAAAAATGTTGAAAAAGTGGCTTGTGTTATACCAATGATCCAGGTTTACCCTGCCTTTAACTCAGGTGATGTCCATAAAGAGTGTGTATGAGCCAAAGGGGAAAAGTGTCACAGTATAGCAGACTGGGTTTGGCACCTTGCCTGAGATCTGAAGACTCCCAGATATTTCTAAACTTTAGCTCAGCAGGTTAATATGGTCTTGAGTACCACCAACAAATATGTAAACAGTTTTCTCAATCTCCCTCTAAGATTTCAAATACTATTTCCCTTTAATGCAGACACACATTAAACATCTGAAATGATGGAATGGCCTTTACAGTATGTTTCCTGGTGCACTGTACAAAATATTGAAATGTCATCCAATCAAACATATGCTTATACAATGCTGAGTGCAGAGGTTGACAAATTGGATGGATGCTGTAATTCCTGTGCACCCATGCCCCACATCACATCATACAAATGGATCTCCCAAGAGCAAAGTCTCACGTACAGTTTGTACAGACCAGAACCAAAAAGCATTCCAATTACTGCATGTATCAGAACCACACATAAACACTTTATCAAACTAATATTCTTATGGGTCTAGGAAATCATACACACCAGGCATCACCCTTTACAAAAGGGACAAAATGCTGGATAATAGAATAGCACAATACTGTAGTCCTCAACATGTCGCTTTGGGCATCACTATTAATGACACCTGGTTTAAACCTGCAGGCTCTTATTATTCTTATAGGGTCATGAATGAATGCACACACCACATGAACATATGATCTCTCCAACAGGCCTAGCAAATCCTGACTAATTCTTACATTCTAGAATCTATCATGCAGAGTACATTCACAATATTGTCTCTGGCACTGTATTAATATTCATTTGGTTTTGTGTAATTGTAGGCTACTTTCATTTTACTGAATTAAATACCTGAAGTGTATAGGCTTTTGAAGGGAATACAATTTCATTTGATCAAAAGGAAGATTATGTGTGTGTCTGACACAATGCAAATATGAGTGCTACAGTATCTCACTAAGTGGTCAAGTGGTGTGATTTTTTTCATTCAAGGTTGGAATTATAAAAACACTGAATAAAAAAGCAATTATTGTCTCGGGAAACACCCAGTTAGTTTAAAAATGACCTCATTTTGATTCGTTTACAGACTCAATTACAATATTTTGACATTGTTATTGGTGTGTGAACTGCTATTCTAGTGGTCAAGAGGGCATATATGAGGCCTGTATTAAGTCTACACTACATGCAAATGTTCAAGCTGACCTACTTCTCCTTTTCACATCAGACACTCAGCTAAAACCCATAAATTAAGGAAATTAACTGATGGGGCCCAGGGCAACTTTGTAAGCTATTTAAATCTTTAAATTTACAACATCCCTGCATACTTCATGTAATTGAACTAACTGCAGGGTTGTTACTTCAATGAAAAAAAAATCATGTCTTCTTGCCTCCAGTTTGTACTCCTGAAGACAACAAATGTATGCCAGAGGGCAAGTTTATCTTGCCCTGTTAGGGGGGCTACTTCCTAAGGCAGCTCTGATTTCTATCCAATTCTTATAACCGTTCGGTTTGGCGCGCCAATCCCCAGACATGAACCAGGAAACCACCTCATCTAAATGACGAGTTTTAATTCGATCAATCAATCAAATTGGAGCATAAAAAGGCAGCTCTCGTTGCAATCGAATTCACCTTATTATTTTATTCCTTCAGTATTTTTTTTTTCTTTGTACCAATAATCATTTCCCACACTGGTTGGCGCCAAATACCAAGAAACCAAATAGCTGAGCGCCGTGGAGTGTCTGGATTCGACAGTAGGCCTACATTAATTACTGGCCTCAATGCAACATCAATTATTCACAGTTATTTACACGCAAATAAACAAACACGCAAATAAATAAATAAATAATCACAAGCCTATGTGAACACCTGCACAGGAAGGAGGCAGAGCAAAGAGATATCACTTTGACTTCCACAGGGCGCCTTTTAGCCTACTATAAAAGTGATGCAACACTGATTTATTTTTGAGGGGGTTTGCGTTTTATATAACAAAATTAGCATTTAGCCAGACCGTTATATTCATTTAACATAATGCATCTTTAGGTAAATTAGTAAAATCTTCTAGCTGGGCTAGCAGTCTGTCTCACTGTTTGCATAGGACATTTTCACTGCAGACATCTCCATCTAGCCCTGTGCTATAATTGAAATGGCGCGTTTAGCTGGAGGCAGGTTGTGAGGGCGCTTTTTGCAATAGCAGAATGCATGTCGATAGACGTCATTTGGTTTTAACGGCCTACAGGACATTTGGCGTTACTACTGGAGACATTAGTGGAGAAAGGACATGGGAAAATCGCCGCATGAAAAGTATCCAAGGATATCTACATATTATTATTCTATTTTATTGACACTGTCAACAAGTTACTAGTGTGCCTTTTGTAATAGCTCCAAGTACACGACTAGGGAAGCGTGCCCTGTTTTACTTATTTAACTGGAGAATGGAAATATATGCCTAGGTGGAAATGCCTGGGGAAATTTTACATCAGACGAAATGACAATGATTAAAATCTGCTTTTTTCCTGCTCTAAATATATTGAGCGACGTGACACTTGCCTGATACTGAACAGCACTTAACCGTTATCCCCTGCAAACCAGAACGTTAAACCGTTACGGGGGCTGTATTTCTTTTTCTCCGGAAAATACGAAAAACCTAACATTAATCGTTATATCTGGCAATAGACATAATTTATGTAACAGGGAGAGAGTATCACTTTTTCTTTTTAAAATCGGACTGGGTGCGAGTAGAGTTGAGCTAATTGTAGCCTAATCCTTGCCCCAGAGGCGTTTGGGCAGCCCGGAGCAAGAATTCATTTTTAGCGCTGCTCTGTTATTTAGAGACGGGATTATTGGCTTTCTTCTCATAACAGACCGGCAGTTTCATTTAAGCAAAAAGGCACTCAAGAAGCTAAAATACGAAGCAGGATTTGACCGACTCAAATAAGAACCGAAAAGGGAAAGGAGAGATCTCTTCTATGTATAAGGTAAGAACGCTTCTTTGCTTCTTCCTGTGCTGCTTTTGTGGAAAGAGCTTGGTCTGAACAAGTCAGCCAGCATCAGCTATAGATCTTTAAAGCCACAGCGACCCTTCTTTTTAATCAATGTAGTTATCACTGGTAGATTCACGTTTTAGAACAGTTTGTGGATACAGTGTTGGCAGTTTCGTTCCAAAGGAGCGGATCCTACTTGAGGAATGCTTGGGTCGGCTATTGGATGGCACTCTAGTTCTGCGAAACTCCGGGCATGTGAAAAGGCGGAACGCAGTCATCAGCTGGGACTGATAGAAACTGGCACGGATTCCCTCGGACTCCTACGATGTTTGAAACGGTATGACTAAATTCATATTAAGATACGGCATTTCCTCATGGTATGATAGCCTACAGTATCAGCGAACAAACTATACTCAACACCAGGTAATTTGGAATAACTTTACTTGTAGTAGGGCTATGTTTTGTCCAGTCTGGGAAAGGTGTGAATGTTTGTCTAGGCTGTTGTCTTTCCCTTGTTGTCTATTGATGCTGTTGGCATATTTACGCATTCATTTTACGCATTGTTCGCTTTTGAATCAAACGTCTCTGGATCATAATTTCATGTTGGTAGAAATGAGTAAGACGCCATATTGTGCATCTGGTAGAAGTAGGCTATCCGTGGGCATCAATGTAAACTGTGTTCAAGAGGGCAAAAGTGTACACTATGGATCTCTGCTACTGTGCACGTTCTTTTTGGCTATTTTATTTTATAACAATTACGCACATTCTGATCTTTGCTTTGTACAATTGTCAAATATCTTTCTTTGGTACACCATTGCCCATAGTGAAAGCCAACTCTTGTGAACGTTTCAAACCGTTATTGGCTAGAGCTACTATAGCTAGAATGTTGGTCAATAGGAAACTATTATAACACAGAAAGTCACGGAACAGATGTCAGTTGATCTCATTCAAACGAGTCAATGGTAATAGTTCCAGTATTTGTATTTTTTATTTGAAAACTCTTGTGAGAGTTTCTTGGCTTATAGCCTTTTAATAATGATAATCTTTACCCCACATATTGATCATATAATATCAATATGCTTTCCTTCTGTCCTGTATTTCACGTTACCCTCCACTCCGTCAACTCCTCCCATCTTAACCCAGTGTGTGTGTGTGTGTGTGTGTGTGTGTGTGTGTGTGTGTGTGTGTGTGTGTGTGTGTGTCCTATCTGGTATATATTCCCCCAACAATATTATCAGTATTGGTTACTGTGGCCCATGGCTAAATGAAGAGGTGGGATAGCCTTATACGCCAAAAACTTCTTAAGTCTTTTGAAGTCTTTCTTTCACTGGGGCCTGAAATATATCATCCAGCGTGCGTATTAAATGATAATTATTCCTGAAGGCTTGGTGGAGTATACAGCGAGGCGGGCAACACCCTGGAAAATTCTGTAGTCTCCAACAACACTTTGTGCCCCAGGGCATCTCGCCTGGAGCAAAGGGCTGAATGAACCCTAACAACTGCCTTCTGTTGACCTTTTATGGGTTAAAATTAAAAGCTTAGTAAATGTGCTCTTGCATGGAAGAACAAGTTGATGAAATGCCTTTCTTTCAAGTTATAATAATTTAGTTTATTCCAGCGACCCGCCATTTTTGCAGACATGATGGATGTATATTTTTTCATGAAACCACATCCTAATGTAAGTTGCTTGACTTTTTCTAACTATATCTGATATGTTTCCAATTAAACTGACTCTGATATTAATTAAAATGTTTGTGAGTTGAGATGTTGGGATTTAATTGACAGGCCTATGCATGTGCGTAATTTGCCCAAATTACATAGGAAAACATGTTATTTTGATCAATCTTGATTAAGTTCGATTGTGGTGATTGGTTGTACGCAAACTTGAGGAACTATGATCCCCAATACCCACATGTCTGTTTAATAGCCTACATCATTGTTTAACCCAACTCTGACGAGCTGGATCCATGCGCCTCGGACTGCGCTGTGGCCTGAAGCGCGCCAACCCAGTGTATGCTACCTGGATGGCCTGAGTGTTACGAAGGGGCTCTGGAATAGTTTGGGGAGGGATTCATGTAACGGATAGTTGACATTCATGAAGTGGTCATATGTTTCCCATGCCTTCCATCCAACATCCCCAATTCACACCAGCCTGAGGACTTGCATCCTTTCTCTGTTGAACATGTGGCCAAAGCCTGCCCACGTTTCTAAAAATTCATTGGAGGATTTCGAGCAATTAATTAAAACTCCTGACCATTACATTTACATACATTTTCATGACAGATATTATAAAGTTACTAAGTAGTTTGTCTTCACATCTTGCTTGGTCCTGTTAAGTTTTATTGTGTTGGATACATATCATTTACCTTGACTCCTATGATATGAGATGCTATTTTTGATGCACCAGTAACTTTGTTATTACATTTACATTTATAGGACATTATTGTGTGGGGGTAAAATAAAGAAACAACATGACAATCTTGTAAGGGGTAAATTTTTTCATATGTGTGGTTCAGGGACAGAGTTCATCAGGAACAAATGCCCTCAATTCTGTATTCTCAGATTGGTGGTTGGTGTGTCTGGGCATATCACGTCTAACACATAACACAACCTTTAATTATAATATTGCAGTTTGTTTTATCCACCTAGAGGCTGACACCTAGCATTCCTCTTTCTGGAACCATAATAATCATCCTCCCCTCCAGCATTGAATGAAAAGATGCAAACATACTTCATTAGAACGGTGGCAATATTCTGTAAGCTAAATATGCGAGCAGACAGACGTGGAAGTGATCTGATAAGGCTCAGGATCGCACTGGTGGAAGATACAGACTTTCTGGAGACCCAAGTAATTTATGATGTCTATGGTTTTTCCATTTACTTGTTTTCAGGAAGGAAGAAGCATGTCACGCCTGTCTTTGACCCGGTCCCCGGTATCTCCTATGTCCACACAAGGAATCCCTCTACCGGCTCAACTGACAAAGTCGAATGCTCCGGTTCACATTGACGTCGGGGGACACATGTATACTAGTAGCCTGGCTACTCTCACCAAATACCCAGACTCAAGGTAAGGAATCGGATATTCTCATTCAATAAGTGAAAGGTGTTTGTCTCGTTTATTATCCATAGTGCCAAGATACATTTTTCACATTTTTTAAAACAAATTCTAGGAGAGTAGCCTACTGATACACATTTTCTTTGAAATTGTCTCCCACCATAAACTTAAATAAGTAATCGTGCTCAATAACACTTTTTATAGGACATATATCCCAATATCCCCCAAAACCCCTCATTACAAGTTTTTGATATCAGTTATACAGTTGATTGCTTTAATGATAGTTTCTCTCTAGTTTGATATTGTATGTTGGATAGCCTAACCTCCATATGGCTTCATTTGAATTGTATTTGATTATAACATTTTCTAACACATGGAAAATGTGTTAATTGCTGTTGCTGACTCTTTCATTCACTGAAATGATGCTACAGGTTTATGCACTTTAGTTGTACATTATGGAGAGGGAAAATGTCAGCTGTTATTTCCCCATTATAGTAACAAAACCAACTGATCTAAAACCATCTCTAATCGATGTCCAAATGATTTGTAACTAAAACCAGCCATGCAACTTTAAAGTAATGCAAATTGTTTATGCTGAAGTTAGTTCATGTTTTCTATAGAAATGACCCCTTATGTTATAGTATTCTATGATCTACATGCCCTAGTCAATTACTATTACTTGAAGCCAGAGTTTCAGCTAAGCCAAGGTAAACATACATCAGTTTGTAGGAAAATCTGAGGAAATGGTTAGAGGAAAAGTATCAACATAAGCCTTGGATATTCAGACAGCTCTGACAGGAAATCACTGTCAACTCTCTTTGTTTTCTTTGTCCATAAACCAACATGATTTATCTTGTTGTGAGAAAATCTCCATGCCTATAAAAGGCCATTGTTTATCCTTAGTATTATTATGTCATGTTTGTCATCACTATTAGCTGTGTGTTTGGTTCATTTAAGAGGGTTGGACAGCAAGACAGGACAAGACACTGCAGGTACACGATACCTGAGTGAACATTTTTGTTATTACTAGCAGTATGTACATAATACCCACTGTTTTATGACATTAGAATTAGAATTACAGTAAATCAATAGTTTATATATTAGGATGACTTTCCAGATGTTCAAATACAGGTTGTTTCATATACACTCACATATATACAGTGCCTTTGGAAAGTATTCAGACCCCTTGACTTTTTCCACATTTTGTTAGGTTACAGCCTTATTCAAAAATTGATTAAATTCTTTTTTTTCTTGATTAATCTACACACAATACCCCATAATGACAAAGAAAAAATAGGTTCCTAGAAATTTTTGCTAATTTATAAAAAATATAAAACTGCAATATCATATTTACATAAGTATTCAGACCCTTTACTCAGTACTTTGTTGGAAGCACCTTTGGCAGCGATTCCAGCCTCGAGTCTTCTTGGGTATGACGCTACAAGCTTGGCACACCTGTATTTGGGGAGTTTCTCCCATTCTTCTCTGCAGATCTTCTCAAGCTCTGTCAGGTTGGATGGGGAGCATTGCTGCACAGCTATGTTCAGGTCTCTCCAGAGATGTTTGATCAGGTTAAAGTCCGGGCTCTGGCTGGGCCACTCAAGGACATTCAGAGACATGTCCCGAAGCCACTCCTGTGTTGTCTTGGCTGTGTGATTAGGGTCATTGTCCTGTTGGAAGGTGAAACTTCGCCCCCAGTCTGAGGTCCTGAGCGCTCTGGAGCAGGTTTTCATCAAGGATCTCTGTGTACTTTGCTCCGTTCATCTTTGCCTCGATCCTGACTAGTCTCCCAGTCCCTGCCGCTGAAAAACATCCCCACAGCATGATGCTGCCACCACCATGCTTCACTGTATGGATGGTGCCAGGTTTCCTTCCAGACATGATGCTTGGCATTATGGCCAAAGAGTTCAATCTTGGTTTCATCAGACCAGAGAATCTTGTTTCTCATGGTCTGAGAGTCTTTAGGTGCCTTTTGGCAAACTCCAAGCGGGCTGTCCTGTGCCTTTTACTGAGGAGTGGCTTCTGTCTGGCCACTCTACCATAAAGGCCTGATTGGTGGAGTGCTGCAGAGATGGTTGTCCTTCTGGAAGGTTCTCCAATCTCCACAGAGGAGATTGTCCACCGATTGCTCAGTTTGGCCGGGCAGCCAGCTCTAGGAAGAGTCTTGGTGGTTCCAAACTTCTTCCATTTAAGAATGATGGAGGCCACTGTGTTCTTGGGGACCTTCAATGCTGCAGACATTTTTGGTACCCTTCCCCAGATCTGTGCCTCGACACAATCCTGTCTCGGAGCTCTATGGACAATTCCTTTGACCTCATGGCTTGGTTTTTGCTCTGACGTGCACTGTCAACTGTGGGACCTTATATATACAGGTGTGTGCCTATCCAAATCATGTCCAATCAATAGAATTTACCACAGGTGGACTCCAATCAAGTTGTAGAAACATCTCAACGTTGATCAATGGAAACAGGACGCATCTGAGCTCAATTTCGAGTCTCATAGCTAAGGGTTTGAATACTAATGTAAATAAGGTATTTCTGTTTTAGTTTTTTTATACATTTGCTTAACATTTCTAAAAACCTATTTTTCGCTTTGTCAGTATGGGGTATTGTGTGTAGATTACTGAGGATTTTTATTTATTTAATGCATTTTAGAATAAGGCTGTCACATAACAAAGTGTGGAAAAAGTCAAGGGGTCTGAATACTTTCCCAAGGCACTGTACCAGGATGTACATTATGCAAATGTACCGTGTTGTTTTACACTTATGTTTATACTATTTATCATTTAACTTTTACACCACCATGTACCTCAGTGGCGGTCAGTTTAAGATGAGGGAGGACGTTTTTATTTTTTTATGAGCATGGCCTTATTTCTATTACAGAATATTAGATGACTGTCATTCATATTCCATCCACCCAGTTCAATGTAACAGCGATAGGCTTAGGCTACTACATGATACTCACATTTTCCCTATACCCATCATGAGGTCGCTACAAGCTAGCCTATAAATGAAAGTTTACAACATTGGTGCACACAGGTTGAGAGAAAAATTTGAGGCGACAGACAGTTACACATGGACAGACAGTGACACATTCAATACCGCCTTGCACACTCTTGCCTGCATCTAGCTGATCTAGGGTGTAATCATTAGTCCAACAGTTGCAAACAAGTGTTTCCTTTGGACAAATACAGGTATATTTATCCCCGTTTCGTTCTGTTTGCTTCCGTTTAAGAAACGTTTTTCAACAGAATCGGCAGAATGAATACACCCTTGATCACGCGTAAACACAGTTCACTTTCATAGTAGCCACATTGTATTCCTTCTCGCATCTATGCACTCTCCTCCTCTCACCTTTTCCCTTCGCTTGTGGACTTCAAAGCACAACACATCAGCTGTATGTGACCAGGCAAAAACAACTTTCCAAACCATATCATAACCGTTACACACAGCCTACATCGTTGTCACCATATTAGCGAAAGTAACGTCATAGTCAATGTAGCTAATAGAACTAACGCGTTAGTAAACCCACTACAATCATGTAGTTACAGTGTACAGTCAGTAAGCAGTTTAGCACTTACACCGGCGGGCCCCGGTGGCAATAAATTAGTAAAACCAAAAGCTTATCTTGACTTGGAAGAGTTCCAGTGTTGTGTTGGATAGTCATAGCCAGCTAGCTAACATAGCATCCCTCTGTTTGAGGAGGATGTTTGAGTAGGCTAAACTAGCTAGCTGCATTTGCTAGCTAAGTAAGTGATACTGAAAGTGATACTCTCTCGATCTCTCTCTTGCTTCTCCTTCATTTTTTTGGAAGAAATGTATTTGTTCAAAACTGTTCAACAATTGTCTTTCTCTCTCGTTGAGTCAACTACTCACAACATTTTATGCACTGCAGTGCTAGCTAGCTGTAGCTTATGCTTTCAGTACTCTTTCTCTAATTCTTTGATTGGGTGGACAACATGTCAGTTCATGCTGCAAGAGCTCTGATAGGTTGGAGGACGTCCTCCGGAAGTTGCTTCTGCCGATTCTGTTGTAATAATTACTGTGTAAGTCTATGGAAGGGGGTGAGAACCATGAGCCTTCTAGGTTTTGTATTGAAGTCCATGTACCCAGAGGAGGACGGAAGCTAGCTGTCCTCCGGCTACACCATGGTGCTACCCTACAGAGAGCTGTTGAGGCTACTGTAGACCATTGCAAAAAAGTAAATTAATCAATTATTTGGTGATATGTGAATGTATTTAGTATAGTTTTATCTAAAAAGGATCACATTTTAAATGTTTTACTTAAATAAATAATAAATGAAATTCACTGAGGAGGATGGTCCTCCCCTTCCTCCTCTGAAGAGCCTCCACTAACCTCACATAATGATGTTACACATTGCATACACATTATACATCCTGAACACACAAGGGTGAAAAGCCTTACAAATGTAACATACATACTGTATAGTAGGGAGCTCAGAAGCAGTGCTTTTACAGTAAGAGTAATGACAGGATACCACTGTGTATGTGAGAGCCAGTTCTCTCTCTCGTTCTCTCTCTCTCTCTCTCTCTCTCTCTCTCTCTCTCCTCTCTCTCTCCTCTCCTCTCTCTCTCTCTCTCTCTCTCCTCTCTCCTCTCTCTCTCTCTCCTCTCTCTCTCTCTCTCTCTCTCTCTCTCTCTCTCTCTCTCTCTCTCTCTCTCTCTCTCTCTCTCTCTCTCTCTCTCTCTCTCTCACTCTCTCTGCCTCCTCAGTGTTCCACACAGTCTGCCTCAGGAGTGCACTTTCCTCTGGAACCAGTGGAGGAGGAGCCCTTTTGTGTGAATTAGGATAATGGCTGACAGAAAGCAAAACAATTACACTGCAATAGCCAGACTTATATGCAGTCTTTTTAGAGGACATCCGGTGTGGTGTGCATGGAGGAGTCTAGTCCTAGTCCACCATCCATGATCCACTGAAACTTGACAATTAAAGAACAAGGTTCAAAGAATTGTAAGTTGATGATTACTTTTAAAAGATTGCTGCGTTAATAATGCAGAGTGCGTAGAGAAACTTAGTCTAGTAACTAATGTCTGGGTATTCATCTTCCTCTGTACAGACTGCATTAAGGGACAGGGGTCATCAAACATTGATACCCGCTCTGGGGAGTTCATAGTTAAGGAGATAAGCTTCAGAGCTCCATTCTACTGAGGCTGAGAAAAGTAAATGAGAAGAATATTACACAGACAAGGAAACTATTTTGAAATGACCTTTGACACAGGTTATTACTTGATACTTGTTTTATTTTGGTCTGATCACAGACAACGATGAGACAGCCTATAGGGAGGAGGTCAGAGACCTGGCCGTGTGGTGCCAGGACAACAACCTCTCCCTCAACGTGACCAAGACAAAGGAGATGATTGTGGACTACAGGAAAAAAAAGAGGACTGAGCACGCCCCCATTCTCATCGACGGGGCTGTAGTGGAACAGGTTGAGAGCTTCAAGTTCCTTGGTGTCCACATCACCAACGAACTATCATGGTCCAAACACACCAAGACAGTCGTGAAGAGGGCACGACAAAGCCTATTCCCCCTCAGGAGACTGAAAAGATTTGGCATGGGTCCTCAGATCCTCAACAAATTCTACAGCTGCACCATCGAGAGCATCCTGACTGGTTGCATCACCGCCTGGTATGGCAACTGCTTGGCCTCCGACCGCAAGGCACTACAGAGGGTAGTGCGTACGGCCCAGTACATCACTAGGGCCAAGCTTCCTGCCATCCAGGACCTCTATACCAGGCGGTGTCAGAGGAAAGCCCTCAAAATTGTCAAAGACTCCAGCCACCCTAGTCATAGACTGTTCTCTCTGCTACCGCACGGCAAGCGGTACCGGAGTGCCAAGTCTAGGTCCAAAATACTTCTCAACAGCTTCTACCCCCAAGCCATAAGACTCCTGAACAGCTAATCATGGCTACCCGGACTATTTGCACTGCCCCCCCCACCCCATCCTTTTACGCTGCTGCTACTCTGTTAATTATTTATGCATAGTCACTTTAACTCTGCCCACATGTACATATTACTTCAACTACCTCAACTAGCCGGTGCCCCCGCACATTGACTCTGCACCGGTACCCCCCTGTATATATAGCCTCCCTACTGTTATTTTATTATACTTCTGCACTTTTTTTCTCAACACTTTTTTTGTTGTTGTTTTATTTTTACGTTAAAAATAAATGCACTGTTGGTTAAGGGCTGTAAGTAAGCATTTCACTGTAATGTCTGCACCTGTTGTATTCGGCGCATGTGGCCAATAACATTTGATTTGATTTGATTTGATAATCTCTCTGGTTTCCATTATCTATGAGGGATATATAGTATAGCATAAAAACAGGTATTTTTTCACCTCAGGTATTCAAACCAGCGACCTTTCGGTTACAGGCCCAACGCTCTAACCACTAGGCTACCTGCAGCCATCAGTGGTATTATCTACTATGCCAGGGGTTCCCAAACGTTTTCACTCAGGCCCCCCTTCCAGCATTGCAGGATATCACTGGCCCCCACAGAGCCAGTGTACGCCCTTGAAGTTGGGTTTGATACATTCATCCAAACACACTCTCTGGGCATTTGTTTTCACAGACATATGTAAGATGTCCTGCAACGTATGTCAAAATTTATTGGGAATCTATTGAAGACAGCTCAGGTCTCTTTCATTTTGGAGAGAGTGAAAAGCTGCACTTGTCTTGACCCACCCACACCCCTAGCCATGAGTTTCAGACTCTAAACTGTTAGTCTGACATGTGTGGGTCCATGAGATGTCTACCTACCGCCCGCTCACCCCCGCTGCCTCTACTCAGCACCGCTGGGATGGGAGATCAGAGATGCTCCAGTCCTTCACAAACTCCCACTCTGCCCTTCTCTCTCTCTCTCTCTCTCTCTTTCTCTCTCTCTCTCTCTCTCTCTCTCTCTCTCTCTCTCTCTCTCTCTCTCTCTCTCTCTCTCTCTCTCTCTCTCTCTCTCTCTCTCTCTCTCTCTCTCTCTGTCTCTCTCTGTGTATCTGAGCCAGGCAGGCAGGCATGAGGGTGTGTAGCTGTCTCTCTCTCTACCTGTCTGACATGACAGAAACAAAGCTGGGTGAGGGCAGGGGTCCGTCTTTCAGGTGCTGAGGGCCCCGAATCTGTGATTTACCAAAAGAAAACACTGAGACCGAGGGAGATACAGAAATGGAGAGAGGGAAAAAGAAATAAATAAAATAAAAACAGGCAGCATTTTAATTGCTTAAAAAAAAGTGGAGATGAAAAACAGAGTTAGCCTGGAGGGGTATGGTGAAATTCTAGCTGGAAGAATTGCAAGACCATATGAGAAAGGAACACCTCGGGCATAACAGGGAGATGAGTATTGGTTTTTTATAAAGCATTTTGCATCGATTTCCAGAGCGAAAGAGAGAGGGGCAAGATGGAGAGAGAGAGAAAGAGAGGGAGAGCATATTTGCACTGGCTCTCTTTATACAGTTAACAGGAAAGGAAAAACAGGGCAAATTCTACATGATATGATTCAGTCTATACCTGATGAAGCCCTTTGATACAGGCACTGTGTCTTTACAAATCAAAGGATTGTAATGGAAATTCAATGCAATTTAAACTATAAAGTCAACACTTATTGTGGTCCCATGTGGCTCAGTTGGTAGAACATGGCGCTTGCAATGCCAGAGTTGTGGGTTCGATTCTCACGGGGGACCAGTATGACAAAGTATGAAAATGTATGTACTCACTACTGTAAGTTGCTCTGGATAAGAGTGTCTACTAAATGACTAAAATGTAATACAGCTGTGTGTATAGAGATTCCCAATGCGACTCTCTTTCTTGTGTTATGTCTTATAACAGGATTTAACAGTCACTGGGCAAAAGCAGATTGTGTGAATTTGTCTTTCTTTGTGGTTTAACTGTACTCAGCTGACCTAAAAGCTGTTAGCATGATTAAAGAGCTGATTACATCAAAACAATGATAACAGCGAGCGAAGCCTTCTCTCTGCCAAGAGCTGTTTCTGGGAGAGAGGAGGGAAATGTGCAGTGAAATCGTTTTAAAGGTTACTCTAAATACACTTAACTGCCACTTCTACAGAAAACTGTTGAGTGACTCATACAAATACTTCAGTAAAACAGTGATAGAGACACCATGTCAATCATGTCTCTAATAATGACCAACATAAATGTCATATTTATCTTCCTTCCAGGTCTATAGCTATTATACACCTAGTGCAGATCTGAGGTGAAATTAATGAACTAATGGTTGAGAGCTACAGTAGCTACAGATGTAGGATCTTAATTTGAGACTGTTTGCTACAGCAGGAAAATATCCTGCAGCACCAGGAAATGTGAATTATTATGTGTATTATAATTAAGGGATTTTTTTGGGGGGGGTTGATACATTTTTTGTAAGGGAAAATCAAGTCAGAAATTTAAAAGTGGAAATTACAAACTTCAGAAGCCTTTTTAAACCTTAAATACACTACATGTTTTTAATTTCCTGCATTGCAGGAAGGTTCTCCTGCAACAAGGTGATCAAATTAAGATCCTACGTCTGTACCTTGACAACCTCACAAGAGATGAGAGAAATGTGTAGTTGTCCAACCATATTTCAAGTCATCGTATCGACAGTATATGGTGGGATGAAAGCTAACAGATTACAGCAATTTCAACTCCTTATTCACTCCTGGTTACAGTACATTTTGAGAGGCCAACTATGGATGGATGCTTGGCGAACTACAGGTGTCTTAGAAGTTATGTCCATCATTCATGGAATTTCCCTCTGTTGTTCTGTATTCTAATGGGAAACCTGCGTCAGTTATTTTAGAGAAATTACTTTTTGAATGAATGCTGATTTTTACAGTGAACGGCATGAGGTGTAATAGTCACACTTCGTCTCTTACTTGTTTTAAAAAATGAACCAAATCAATACATAATTCAGTGGAATATTTGTATTCAAAACACAAATAGGTGTCAGAGTATGAAACTGTGAATATTGACATTATCATATGCATCATGGATTCACACACTATAGAGAAACATATATCATATTTCATTGTAGCAAACCCATTTCATTTTTTTTTTACCCTTTAGTAATAGAGCTTTAAACTGAACCCATAACATTCATTTCTGTAAGTACCAGCCGAGACACTGTATGTTGTCCTAATCACACAGCAGAAGGGACACTTCAAACAGGCCTGGAACACAGGAAATGTGCCTTAAGCCCCTTGTTTCAACCAGGATGCTAATACATTTCAGCCTTAGCACTAATAAAATGGAAAAATAAATGGAGGGTAATTGTTTCATGCATTTGAAGGCAGCCGCTCAACTCAACCTCATTCCATTATGTGTGTGTGTGTGTTTCAATTTCCAGAATCAGCCGTCTGTTTAATGGCACAGAGCCCATCGTGCTGGACAGCTTGAAGCAGCACTACTTCATCGACAGGGATGGAGAGATATTCCGCTACATTCTCAGCTTCCTCAGGACCTGCAAACTGCTTCTCCCAGATGACTTCAAGGTACATTATGATTTGTATTTGCACACCATAACATCATGTGCACTGTATGCACTCACACAGTGAGAGATATACAAAGGATAGATTATTGATTAAAAGTTTGAGCTTCCCTCTCATCTGAGAAGAATGTCTAACATGTTAGTTTTCGTTGTCTATCAATTTATATTGTAAACATTATTTGGCACTACATTCACATTCAATAGGTCAATATCAGCAGTCATATGTTTTATTAATAAAAGATTGGAAATCTAATCTAATTAGTCCCCACTGATTTATCATTAAAGTGATGCTTCGAAGGTTTTGTATAATTTCAGCCAGTAGTTCTGAAAGTTGTGCTCACGAGCCAAAATGGGTCCCCGAAAAATGTGCACAATTGTGTACTACGTCATACATTTCACTTGATATCTTAAAAAAGGTTTTTATGCAATTTGTATGATATGTTACGAATTACAATTCGTACAATATGTTACGAATTTGTAAGCGCTTAAGATCCCGGACTGCACCTTTAGTATACAGTGAAGGAAAGGTGAAAATTCAGTCTAAAACATAGAATTGTTCTTTGATGTGAACCAAAGCCCAGAGCTGTTGTTTCTCACAAAATAATATTTCTATAGAGGTGAAGCCAGGTGAAACAGGCTGTATAGCCCCTGATCCACTTGTTCCAGTCTGACAGTACCACCCAGTCTCCCAGCCACTGTCTCTCTCTCTCTGCTCTCAATACAGTGCCATGACAGTTTAAAGGAACTGGGCTTGAGAGGGAAGTAGGAATACTAGAGGAAGCGAGAATAATGTGGTCTTGAGTCTGACAGAGGGGAATGTGAGGGGAGGGAGTGTACTGTAGGTGATGTCTACAGACAGACAAACACACACACACACACACACACACACTCACAAAAACACACACTTTTATACAGTGCTCTATCTGGGACACTACATTGGTCCATGTTAGCCTACTGTGGCTGCACACACCTGGCTCCTGTTTCAGCGTGCGCATGAGGAGACTCCTTCCTGGACGCGCTCGGCTTAGCACACCAACCGGCTCTGGAAATACACACATATTATTGTTACTAAGTTATTCTACTTAGTAACAGAGCAAAGATTCAGGCCAATGATCGATCATGGACTCATGCCAAATCTTCTGTGATTTAACCACTTTGATCGATCTAAAACACAATGAGTAAAATGTAAAGTTCTCTATGGTTGATGATGGATAAGGAGAGCAGATTCTATTCCTGTCCATTCAGATCCCTTTTAGTTCACCCTATTATACCCAAACTTCCATGTCTTTCCCCTGTGGGCTTGGAGTAGTTCATCACTCTCGCTAAGGGGAGTAGAGGAGAGGCAGAGCCCCTGGCTAACTCTCAGGGCTAAGCATTAAGGCTGAATGGGGACTGACCTGAACAACAGTGAGGACATGAAAGCTTCCTTCACATTTTTGGAAAATTACATTTTGGTTTTGGTCTGATCTGTATAGTGTACTGTATGGAAGCTATAGCTGTTCTCATCCACTCCCGTTCTACACAGTCCAATCAGCCAATGACTGTAAGCCAAACGAATGCAGCATCAGGCCTCATTGTTTCAACTCATGACATTAACACCCTCGCATCATCCAGCCTCCTCTCTCTCTCTGTTGATCTGCATACCTTTCAATTTACGTGAACTCTGAAAGAAATGCAAATACAGTTAGGAGGACTTGAGCATGTTCTTATCTGAAAACAATCAGTCTTGGCGTCGCCCCAGGCCTGGGTCTCTTATACTGCTGGCAGCCACGATGCTGTGTGTTTAGCTAAATCAATGTGAAAGTCTGCTTAGCGGAATAGTAACAAATATTTAGCATAAATCAGTAGATATAATACAATATTCACCATTAATATGCCTTCCACATGACATATTTCAGACATTATTCAGACTACAATGAATCACAAAGTGTGTAAGCAATGCTCAGTCAAATTAGGTTATGGTCCTTAACCATTCCGGTGTGTTTTTGCATGTTAGAATAATATTATTATATCAATGAACAGTAAGTTCTTTATTTTTCAGTACGATCCAGTAGATTTCTCAGTCACCCACAGTGCTAGACAAAGTGTTATTGCAATAGTAAGGCTAATTGATTTCACATTTCACATTCATTATTGTCTTGTTCATTATCACCCCATATAGGTCAGTGGTATTACCATATCCATGTCAAATGACAGTGTAGAAGGTAACTTCTAATTTTGTTGGTTTAGTTAGCTGTAAAAAAGTATTTTGTTCCTGTTTTGGATCAAGACAATCTCTCTCTGTCTGCTCCCTCTCTGTCTGCTCTCTCTCTGTCTGCTCCCTCTCTGTCTGCTCCTCTTGTCTGCTCCCTCTCTGTCTGCTCCCTCTCTGTCTGCTCCCTCTCTGTCTGCTCCCTCTCTGTCTGCTCCCTCTCTGTCTGCTCCCTCTCTGTCTGCTCCCTCTCTGTCTGCTCTCTCTCTGTCTGCTCCTCTCTGTCTGCTCCCTCTCTGTCTGCTCCCTCTCTGTCTGCTCCCTCTCTGTCTGCTCCCTCTCTGTCTGCTCCCTCTCTGTCTGCTCCCTCTCTGTCTGCTCCCTCTCTGTCTGCTCCCTTTCTGTCTGCTCCCTCTCTGTCTGCTCCCTCTCTGTCACTCTCTCCCCATCTCTCTATTTTGCTCCCCCCCCCCCCCCCCCCCCCCCCCCCCTCCATTCTCCCTCCACCTCCCCCCTCCATCCATTCTCCCTCCATCCTTCCCTGCGATGTTGCCTTGCCAGTGGGTGATCAGGTCGGATCATTATTTTGGAGCTCAACCGGCCTGTCTGGGCACAGGATTGTGGGATAGATTGTCTCTTGGAGCTGGCAGCATACAGCAAAGACAGAGCTGTTGGGCCTGTCTCCCCTCTCATCCTCACTTCAGCATTACGTTAGGATTACTCTGTTGTTTTCTGTTCTGTTCTGCCCGGCTCAGGCTCAGGATGACTAAAGTGCCCTTGCAGACAGACCCCTGTTAAAAACACATCCATCCATGGCTTCAGACCTGTGAAGGATGAGGAGCTACACTTCGATTCAGAGAGCACCCCGAAGGGGGAACGTCTCTGTATGTATTTTGTCAGCCGCAGTGAGAAGTGAGAGAAAAGAAGTGACCGACCCACCCCTTCACATTCTGTCATCTTACATATTACAATGTCTGCTTAAGATGTGTTGCGTCATCGCCCTGCTTCAGCTAGAGTTGGTTTTGGGTCATTCCTGGTTTTCAGATGGGGGGGTTGAATGAGGGGTTAAAGAAGCAGAAGGTTTTTCATTGAAGGGTTTTTCAGGATGGAAGAAATAGCGTCTGTTTCTTCCATCCTCACTGTGGCAGGCAGGGTTAATGAATATGCTGTTTGCTGCTATTGCCCTACCACACTCTGTACCCAGCAGTGTTCTGGAGAGGCAAGGGAAAACTCTTTTTAGATTTGGTTCCCCCAGCACCCCTAGCACCCAACACCCACAGCCAATGATGATGCAGTCAGACTGAAACAGGCACTCACTCTTTCTCTCCTCTGCACAAACCCTAACTTACTTTAGAAGTGCATAAAGACTTTATAAACACTGCAATCATCAACTTTTCTCTTGAACCAGTATCTTTCATCAAGAGAATGATTAGAAGGTCCTGATACCGACCAAATACATGGAGGATATGGCAACTCATTATGTCATGGGAAATATGGTTTCCCTTTGTGCTAGGTTGAAGATGACAATTGTTAAGACAACGAGATTCTATTATCCCATAACTCTTTTCAACAATGGGACCTGCTATTCTAGTTAGCAACGGTGCTGGTAGTTAGCAATAGCGCTGGTCCAAGATTTGTGACGACGTTATCTTAGCCTCTATATATTTTTGACCTTCTCTTTGTACAGTAAATACATCAAATAAAATGTAATGAATGCGGCTACCATGAATGTAGCAATTTACCTTTGTATAATTTCCAAGGTAGCAATTTACCTTTGTATAATTTCCAGCTAGAGCTAACGGTAGCTAAATCAATTACTGATTGTTTTGCAAGCACATTTACTAATTTGACGCAATATTAAATTGTGATATCAGAGCTTAACATTGGGCCACTATTCACATTAGACATGACCATAAAATCCCCTCTATGCAAAGCATGCATAAAAAATCAACCATGGCTTATATTATAATTATCCTCATGTTCACTTCTTCTCCCACATATATTCCCCTCACCTCCCCTCTGTTAGCTAGTTACCAATAGCTTGCCTTTCCTCCTCAGTCTTCCTGGTATTTTCTATGGTAGTGTTGAATGATGGTGCCATCTGGTCTTGTGGGAAATTAGAGGCAAGAGCGCAGGGGCAAATGGCCCCCAGCAATCACAGCCCAGGGGGAGAAAGGCAGCTAGCAATCTGCTGCAGCTAGACTGTCTGCACACAGGAATGTACCATCCCATCCCACATCACTGCAGCCTGGGCTCGCTGAGCCTCTCCTCACTGACACAGGCCTCTATAGAATAGAGCTAGCTCAATACAACATGCTAGAGGATTACTCAGCCCTGCCAACAGCTACTGTTGGAGTAGAGACTGACTGGCTGATTGCAGCTATGGCCATGTTTAGCATGGCTGTGGTTCTGGTAGTAAAAAACAATACAGGCCTTTCTTGTAAACAACTGGAGACTGATCTGATTTACCAGTGAATCATTCTTCAATCTGAGATATTTGAATGTTCATTGTGGGCCTAACCAAAATCATTTGTAACCAGGAAATACCATGAGAGGAATATGAGGGACTATAATAGACGGGGAACACTCTTTTAACACCACTTCGATACGGAAGTACTTTTTTCATAGCAGGTTAGGAGAATTTACGCAGCAGGTTAGGAGAATTAACGTAGCAGGTTAGGAGACTGAGGTTAAGGTTAGGAAAAGGTTTAGGGTTACCGTTAGCAAAAACTGCTCTCCTAACCTGCTACGAAAATCACTTCGTATCGAAGTGCCGTAAAAAGGACAAAGAGGTCTGACATGAATATTACTTGGATTTGAGTGTTTGTGCGTATGTCCTATCCTGTCCCATCCAGGAGTTCCACCTGCTGTACGAGGAGGCTCGGTACTACCAGCTGTCCCCCATGATTAAGGAGTTGGAGCGTTGGAAGCAGGAGCGGGAGCAGCGCAGGACGGCCCAGCCCTGTGACTGCCTGGTGGTGCGGGTGACGCCTGACCTGGGTGAGCGGATCGCCCTCAGCGGGGAGAAGGTGCTCATCGAGGAGATCTTCCCCGAGACTGGAGACGTCATGTGCAACTCGGTGAATGCCGGCTGGAACCAGGACCCCACGCACGTAATCCGCTTCCCCCTCAACGGCTACTGCAGGCTCAACTCTGTCCAGGTAGATAATGAACGCT